GAGTTGCTGGTAGAGGCGGGACGTAAACAGAGTTGCTGGTAGAGGCGGGACGTAAACAGCTTCCTTGACATAACCCCATAAGAAATAGTCACATGAGGTCGGGTGATCTCGGTGGCCAGAAGTGTAGAGCCTGATCTTCATTTCCTATGCGCCCTACCCAACACTCAGGAAGCGACTGATTTAAAAAGTTTCGGAAACTACCGCCGCCTCGCAATTCCGCGTCTGAATAGGTTAAAAAACTTTAATCTTTTTCTCTCCATTGATGTACAAATTATTCATTTTGAATTTATTTTCAAATAAATATGACTTTATTCGGTTGGGTCCATCATTTAGAATAACCCTGTATACGAGGTCGCTTGAAATATTCTACGTCTATATGGCATTTTTAATATGTTTGACTCACATCGATTACCGAGATTTCTTATACCAATTGTATTCAATAATTAATTTATTTCATGTGTGTTTCTAAAACAATACGTTTACATTTATTTGTTCTCATTAACGGCAAAAAATTACAGTCTCTTTTGTTTACTGATTCAAAGCTACTCTAACTAATATAATAGAAGAATTTAAAGTCATGTATGGGAAAATGGTACAAATTGCATAATAGAGAAATTAAGTAACGTTCACAAGACGGTACTGATTTTAATCTTTTGATTTATGATTTTTTCCGATATCGGATTGGAAAAATTTCTAAACTAATAAAGAATCTGATCTATAAAATTATTTATACGAAAAGCTTGAAAATTATTCAGTGGATTTAGCCCCAATTAAATGCAACATACTGAATATGTTTCCAGAAATAAATCATTTTACGTTAATTTTTCTGGCTGCACTGTAATCAATTACTCAGACTCGCATGATTTCAGAAAAATATCGAAAAAATTGCTGAACATTATTTCGAGATATAGAAAAAGGGAGACCTCAATTGAAATTTACCTACTCTTTTTCAGATTTGAGTGTTGATTTTAATTTAGTAAATTAAATGTAAAGTTGAACATTAGATTTATTGACAAAATTTCCAGTCATATTTTACAGGTTTGATTTCATTTCATTAGAATAACTTGAAAATAATGACCATAACAAATTAATACCTAATTGGTGCAGAAAAAAATTCAGTCATCATGCGCACTGCCTTGCATGCTTGTCAAGGTGTATAAGGAGTATACATCCACAAGAGCTTTCAGAAATGAATGCTTATTAAAATGATAATAATAGAAAATATAGCATTTAATGCAATAGCATAGCGTTATAGGAGATAATAGCATTTAATTCAAACTTGATGAATTAATTGAGATGTAAATGACACAATCAGATCATAAGTAAGCCATAAAGTGTGCAATGGGAAGCATATTTTACCCAATGAAAGAGCATATATCATTAGTTAGAAATTTGTACACTGTCAAACACTTAACAAAGTTAATAACAACCAATTGCTTAATTTTTCTTCTAATCAAACTTTTAGCTCAAAATACCTTCAGAGTTGCCAACATTTCTATTCCAATTTTAAAATTTTCTCAGTTAAACGGATGTTTCACCTGCTAGTTATGACCAATTTAACCGTATGACGGATATTAAGTTCAATAATAGGTTGATTTAGTTCTCAATACATCTCTGAATTTATTGACATGATCTCTTCATTGAAATGTATTTTCACCCATTATCATGATCCATAGCTATCATTTTCATACATAAAGATTTTTTGTAAAAATAAAGACCTCACGATTATCCATTATAAAACAAAAAATAGTAACACCTTTATCACTCCAGCGATAGCCAACAGGTATTTGTTAAAAAGACTACCGAACATGAGGCTGAGAAACTTAGGCCCAGATTGAGTACTTAGAAGCGCAGTTGGCAGACTATGAGATTGTGCAATTAGAGTATCGCTATTGCCATTAAAACTATTAATGTGAAAACAGATTAAGCTCATAGTAAACTCTGAAGCACCAATGATTTCTTGGTACTTCAGAGGTTATTAAAACCGCATAAAATTTACGTTTATCTATTACAGCTCTTGTAGCATATGCTCAATTCAATCAGCGTTCAAGAATTTAATATGAATTAATTTTTATTCAATTGTGCATGCAATATCTTTCACAGTGTATTTTTACCTGATTTTCAGTGAATATGACATGGAAAAGAATAAAAAATTGTGAGGAATCAACCCACCGCCGTGCAAGTAACGTGCGATCACAACAGCTTCGATCGGTAATAATCCTTGGTAAAATAACGGGAAATGATCGGTAATGAAAAAACGGGAAATAATACTTAACAACAAAAGAACGGGAATTACACTTAAAAAAACTAAAATTGAATAAACTTTGACAACATTATGGGAAATAAACGCTTAGAAAAAAACAGCAAAAAAAAAAATCGCAACTAATGGGATTTTACCTTCAACAGTATACGGTATAAAAGTTCTAACAAAATTATTGGAAACGTGAGTCGATGTGAGGGTAGGATAGACAAACCGTGACATAAAATTGTCATACATTAACTTATTTTTTTTATTAAAGTCGTTGGGACTTTAGTTGAATTTAGTATTAATAATTATTGTACTTTTGCAATTTCAGCCACTGAATAACGCGAAAGATTTCTCAAAGAAATTAGACATTTTTTTGACATTACAAATCAGCATTTTGACAGATTTTTCAGAATGGAGAGTCACGGAAATTATGTTAAATTGTATATTGTTTCAAAGAATTATCTAATTTAATTACAGTGATATTGGCTGTGCTTCTGCAGGATTTGTTGCTAATGTCATTTGGATATACGGAGGTGCAAGTGGATGGCATCCTTATTAGCAACATTTTTTATTTGGTATTTAAAATTTTGTTGGTTATTTTTGTCATTTATTTATTGAAGGTAGTTTGCAGTTGCTTGTGCGCAAACAGAAGTTATTCCGTCTTTTACCTTAAGCTCGTCTGCCTCAATGTAGCCGCTGTTGTCTCGGTCATAGGCTTTCCATATCTGTTGACAAATAGTGATGACAGTGACAACAAAGACACGACACGTACATGTAGTGATGACAGTGACAACAAAGACACGACACGTACATGACGACATCGTGGGTGGGAAACAGGCGTCGGATGACATTTTCAGTTATACCTTGGAGCTCTACTGGTGTTATTTAGCTTGTTGACAGAACAGTGTTGACAGTGTTGTCAGTCGTCACTGATTCGTGCATCGCGTTGGGAATGGAGTAGTGAACATCAAAAACATCAAAGCCCCGTAAAAAATTATTAAATTTTATTACAACGAGATTTGAAATATTGATAAATTAGATAAGTTACTAAGGCGGTTCAATGAAATTAAACATTTTTCCACTTTTCTAAATCCAAGCAACGACGGATGTTACAAGCATGAGTAAAATCCGCGACGAATGTACAGGCACGAGACAACATGTAACATTCATGACGACATGTTTAAAATAAGGGACAACGTCACGACGAATGTTGTCAACGGACAACAACATCACCATAAATGCTGCCAAGCTGAAGAAAATGTAAAAATATTAATATGTAGGACAAAAATGAAAATAAATATTATTAAAAACAGACACGAATTCGCGATAAATGCACATTTCACATTCAAATAGAGGTAAAAAGACAACGAGGAAACACAATTTCGCATTCCTTAAGCCAAGGCACCCTGTAAGCAAAGCATCAAATTTAAATGATTATCGTCCCATGAATAACTCTAATTGTGTGAAAAATGTAAAAAAAAAAACAGTGACACGGGAGTTCATTCTCATGGCTCACGAAAAGACGCTGACAGGTTAACACATGTTCAAGAAATACAAATACATTCAATTATAAAATAAGATCGGACCGAAAGACACTAAGCAAAATTAAATGTTTCCTTAACATAACCGATACATTCATATAATTATTTTGTTCAAGAAGCGTTGAGATAATGTATGCAGTCGCGACAAAAAACATGGAATGCGATGGACATGAACGATATTGAGAAATTGTGCAGGTGCTTATAAGCCGATTAAGATAAGGTGGTGGAGAATGAGTTTGCCCGTAAGTAAGCAACTTTGAATTAAAAAGAAAAGAAAACGTGACGTAAATTCACCATATCTGCATTGTAAACCTTTGATGATGCGTTAATCGACTTTGATTTTTCTTTGATTTTAAATTCTCAGTTACCCTGCGGTTTAAGTCAATTTTAAGTTATATTTTTTTTACAGTAAGACATTATTTCCGTGAAATGAAGGCTATGCGCAGCTGTAAAATTGAACCTACTTGAAGCGTTTGGTATCTTGACGTGAAATGTCCTGACTAGGAAATATAAGCAAGGGAAAAGTTTCGCGATGACATTATTTGGAGAGTAAAATCAGTAAAAGTTTGATATCTCGACTTAAGGATTTTTTATGAATAGTTCCATTATCGGCAGAAAAATCGTTCGTAGACAAAAAAAAAAAAGAGTTGGATGCATGAATATTAATGAGGAGGTAGTTCCAACACACAAAATGTTCGGGTGCGTTACGCCGGGTTCCAAGTTATGTAATTCTTACTTGGAAAATATTATGAACGAATTTTCTCGAAGTATGATTCTAATGATAAATTTCACGGCTTAAACGCCGTGAGACGACCCGAATATATCATTTCTAATTTATTCTGTTTATATTCAGCATGTTGCATCAAATAGGGGCTGAAAAGGTCTTGGGTATATTGAACTATTCCAGTTATCGTCTGACCTTACCTATACGGAACCTTTTATTTATTTCACCTCAATATTGCGTCATTAATTCAGAGAAAAAGTTTACGCAGTTTAATTTATTTAAATTTGTTATTTGTTTAGCAAATTCAGAATAGTTTTAAACAAAAACATTTTCTCAAGAAAAGTGAATTGAGTTACTTTAAGGCCTTCTTAATCAGGCTTCTTCCTCTAATAAATATAGATTAAATTTGCTTTTGGATTTTACCAATACTATTACGTCGATGGGTATCATTATTTTAATTTATTTTCCGCAATTGATTTTCCCTTTGTGTTTCATGCACATAAAATTTTATGCCTGCCTCTCATTTTCGCGCTTGTCGGTTCAATTGTTCACATTTCCTGGCCATACTTACCTTGAGTTCGTTGCTATCGATAAAGCCGTTGTGATCAGAATCATAATACTTCCAGATCTGAAAACAGTTCAACATTTTAGTGCGAATTGCCGTTCCGGGATTAAATGAGGCTCCTGCGATGAGAGATCTAAAAAACAGAGAATAGTTAGTTTAACAATTGCATAAACTAAATATTTAGTTTGTTTGCGGTTCCAGAATCGAATGAGTTTCCAACGGTGAGAGGTCCGTTGAATGTTTATTTCCCTTGAAGAATGAGTAAAGGCGAGTGAAGAACTAATTACCTTTCCTCTGAACTTTTTAAAAAAAACCTTCTTGGATAAATAAACGATGTTATTCGATAGTGAAACCCAGAAAATGATAAATCTGACTAAATGTGGTTAACGTTTTAGTATAGAAGCTGTCGGTAAAACAATATAAGTTTAAATATTTAAAATAATTTTAAAATTATTTAATTTCTAGAAGAGGAACTCATCAAGGCTCGGATTTAAGGGAAAAAATCCCAATTATCGCAGGAGAAACTAGAAATCTAGGACACGGTTTTTCTTAGATTAAATTTATAGCACGGCGCTCAGAGCGGCTCCTTTCTCTTCGGTGGCGATGCCTGGAAATTTATCCCTGTAGACCTGAGAATGGAATGAGTTTCCGATGCCGAGATCAACCCCCGGGGAAAGGGGTGAGGGGTGTAAGGAAACATCCTTATCGATGCATGAGGAAATTTGGGGAAATTTTTTGTAGTATTAAATTTTATAAATTTGTAACTAACTGTATTTATTTCAATTCAACACGGGACTTATATTCATCTTAAAATTAGCATTTTTCTTCATTAGCATTATGAAAGAGATGCTACTTGTTGGGGAAATCAACGTAAAGAATTAAAGACAGCTGTATGTAGAGAGAGAGAGAAATGTTACATTTTTGAATAAATAACGTTACGAATATGTTTTCTATAATATACAAATCAAACGTTCCGAAATTTCTTGGAAGTGAACATCTAAGTATGGAGTTTTTATGATTTTAACTGTAGTCCCCTTGAAGAATATTATGTGGTTCATTGATTGACACACTAATATACATCTCCTAAATAAAATAATGAAACGGTGTTCCTATCATGAAGAGAAAACATTTAATATATTTTGAATATCAATATAGTTACTACATCATTTGCTAACATCCTACTAATTTTATTTACAAATTAATGTCGACGGCAATTTACAACCGTCAAGAAACGAAAACGATACTCTCGCGAACTCATAACATTGAAAATCAACCACTGTATATTAAATAGTCATGTACATCAAAATTATATTATAAACTAAACAGAATACATCAGTTAAATCTTCCATGATAAGTCCCAAAAAATTCTTCGAAAGTCCTTCTTAAATGGTAATTACTTTAATAATTCACTTGCCAAATTTAAAACAACTCCTCAAATAGGAGTGATGGGAAAATGTTGGTATATCAATTCCTATATTTAAATCAATTTCCCCCTGGAATTACAGTTAACGCAGTAAATTACCTTCACGAATTACAGTATCTATATCAATATTAACTTCACAAACTGCTTCCACGAATTCAACATTTTCCATAAATTACCTTCATGAATTCCACGGAGGAGTCGAGCGGATTATCGAAGCGGAACAGGAGGAGGAAGTTCTCTTCCATGGGCAGGAGCTGAGCCAGCTGTTGCCGGGGATAATTTTAAAGGTGATAAACGGTATAAAATTGTGTGCATAATGTCATGTTTACAATAGATAATAAAAATCATCTGGCAATGGATAAACAACTTCCTTGATTTAAGTCATCGGTTACAAGTGGAATAGAATCTTATACAATATATGGTAAGTTTAAAAAAATGTCACGGAACACATAACAGAAGATGTTGGTGATTAACTTTCTTAAACTGAGTTAGCGGCAGCTGGTGGCATAGAGTCAATAGAACAATACGGTTCATTAGCAAAAAAGTCACTGGTGACCATTCATCAGATATCTCATCAGACACTATCACCATCGGCCACCATCAGCGCATATTTATCAATGTTGTCATGCCACAAGGCATAAAAAGTTGAAACAACATTGATTACGAGTTGATTTTTTAAAAACATCGTTTTTTCAACGTTATTTTAACTTTAGGTGTCCGAGGGGATTAATGCTCAATCTGCTAATCTGCCATCTAATCCTATAAGAATTAGATGGCAGAATCTGCTTACTGATTCAATTTTGAATAATGCCCAGATAATGTATTGCATCAACATTTTCAGACAGTCAACCAAATTTTAATTGTATGCTTCCGCTGTGGTTTTCGATTTTGTATGAATATTCATATACATGTAAATATTTATAATCCCACGAAACCGGACAAATTATTGGCTCACCTTTTTCAAATGTTAAAAACTGTCAAAAAACGGACCTATCCTCAAAAGGATTTTATAAATGGCTTACCCGAAACTTTATCAGGTTGGCGTTTTTTATGTCAGGTTATGTGTATATTAATTAGCGCGTCCGGTAATTAGTTTCTGTATCAATTGCTTGCCGGACGTACTTCTGTCCGGTATTCCACCCCTGTCCGGTAATGATACCAAGAATATCCGGTTAATAGCGTAGTTATCTATATTTGAAATCACCTCTCGGATCTCAATCCTGCCGTCCTGATTGTCGTCGTATGCCTCCATGAAGCAGTCGCGTAACTCTGACAACATCTGGTCGCTCACCGCCTGTGAACATTTTATAATCTTATTAAAATATTACGACCAAATTGATTATTTTTTTTATTAAATTAACTTGCAGCTTTTTAAAAAATGTAATCATTTCGTCATTAGGCCAATACTTATTTTTTATATTGGTTTACAGCAAATCCTGAAATGAAGAAAATTTAAAGTGATTTATCCAATATATTAGTAAATTTAAAACGTTAGATTTGTATGGATTTCAGTTATCTTTAAATGAAGTTCAACTGTGCTTTATTATATATACATCATTGACGGAAAATCGATGTTGATCTCATTTGGTTGCGAGGGTCATAACCTTTCTCTTCTCGGAAAAAAGGGATAGAAGTGATTTAGTATCCTGAATATTTCTATTCGCATGAAACCTGATACTAAATTACGGATAAAGGTACAGTTTATTCAGCTGGATTTGTTTCTATCATCCTTGACTTCGCAATTAATTTTCAATCTCGTATGAAGTTATTTGGTAGACATTTGGGATTCAAATTCGTAATTTATACCGTCGTAATGTTTGCAGTGTATAAGACGGGGATACAATTTTGATAATTGACCTATATGCATCGATGGATAAGAAAAAGATTTTAATAATGAAAAAATATGCTATGATATTAAAAATACAAAAGTATTGCGTAGTCACCCATCACATATTGCAACGCATTGCAAGAAAAAATTTTTGTTCACACAAAATAAAGTTGCACGCAAAATTAAAAGATGCATGATCGATATTGAATAATTATCCAGGTTTTGTGAGCTCGGCAAACTTCAACATTTGAGCAGAATGAAGTAAAACTCAAATTGAAGACTTGAATAGGTGCAAGAAATATGGTTTACACACTTTTGCACTGAGATTTTTTCGCAATATATTTTTCGTTAAAATTTCTGAATAAAAAAATTATTTACTGTTCGACCATGCATAAACATAACTAACATAAGCATACATAACTCGAACATAAACATATCTGATAAAATTAATTTGATGACTTAAGACTGTTTCTCCGAAATATCACCCAATTTATTTAAGAATATAAGCAAAACTTCTTCAAACGTTGAACAGACAAACTTTAAAATCTCGAATCCATCTGAAGTAAAATAACATCTAAAAAATTCTAAAACTTTGAAATTTTTGCGCATTTTCTTGAAATTAAAGTGCAAGTCGTGTAAGGATGTACGCGGGTAAAAGTAAATCTTAACTTTGATTTAATTCAAAATGGTAAATATTTAATGAGATTCGTGACGTTGGCAAAAATTTCAGGCAAATCTAATGGAATATTAGATTCATCTCTGTGGCATCGCTGTGATTTTGCGCAATCTATAAGTACTTTGAAATTGTAAGTTACATGCAAGCCAATCCTAATTCGAGGCGACACAGAAATTGCCTGTCAGTTTTAATTGAGGCGCTAATAGAGTCAAACAGGCCAGCTATGAATGAAGTCTGCTATACCAGCTCGAATTGGAGTTTGGCATATCAGCCCCTACTTTATTCCCTGTGATGGTAATGAGATCTGGTATATTGATCCAAAATTCTTTCCCCTATATGTAATTAAGTTTGGTGGTATATGTCAGCCCTCAATTCCTTCGTGTGAAGACACCGGGGACAACTAAATCTTAATCTCTATCGTAATCTCTTTGAGCTCTCAATCTCCTCTCCTGTGCTCTGAGGAGCTGAAATCTGCTTTTCAGCCAGAAATTATGAACTTAATTCATAACAAATGCCCATTTTCAGCCTAGGTTTGCTTCTTGTTCTTACACACAAAATTTTTAGCGACGGGTGAAGCCGTGGCAATGGAAAGCGGGGCATGATTGTCTACATAATTTTTTTTTCATTTCATGAATTTCGTAAATTAATACAATGAAATCCACGGCGCCTTCATTTGATTTCAAATAAAAAATTCAGTTTTCCCATAGAAACAACAAATTTAGTTATTTCAGAATTATTCCTTTCTTGAGCATCAATAAAACGTCCTATCATATCCTATTCATTCATCGATCTATCAGTTCTGAATGTTTCTTAATGTGCTGAATTTTCTATGAAATTTGTGCAATGAGAAGACAAAGAGGTACACATGACACACAAAAGAGTTCTCATTTGATTAGTGTTGCCAAATACACAATAAAAAATCGATGGTACTGCTTCCTTTGCAATCATGCAAATACGTTTCCTTCGCAGGCATGCAAAGGAAACGCACTGAAAACCGTTACCTCCCCCTTCTTGCTTTGCACCGCCGAGGCAGAAGCAGTGAACGCATCCTATGGGTGGTCGAGAGGTGATGGAAAGGCATTTGTGGTGAGATGGGAATTGTGGTTAAGAAGGGCAGGTGGTGAGAGCGAATTATGGGTGAATGTATTGAGGTTTTGGAGGATTGTAAATTAGAGTTTATTGCATAATGATTAAATATATATATGTGGGCTTTACGGCAAAGTGGTTTTGGGGGGATGATATAGTAAGAACACAAATGGTCGCTTACTGAAGGAAAGAAATTTATATTGTTCATACAATCATCAATGGTTGGGAAATTATGAGATTACTACAAATTTACCTATTTGAAATAACTCAATATGTCTAAAAGAGAAACCTATCTTATAATAACGAAATTTGTTCTTTACCTCAATAAAATGTCATTAGACGGCTTTCTTGTTAGTTAGCAAGGAGTTAATGATGACAGTACTCGCAATTTATTTGCTCTCTAACAAAAAAATTTACAAAGAAAACTACAAGTTTTTACTTTAGATTTTTATTGAACTGCACCGATTTATGGAAATATTTAAAGCATTCAAAAATTTATGAGCAGAAATCCTGGGACTATTTTTTAAAATTATTAAAATAGTATGCAAGCATGATAAATAAAATGGAGTGCTAACCTCAGGCCCAGTTTCCTGGACATTCACGGACGACACAAACTCTCTCAGGAAGCCGTCGAGCTCTGAGCCTTCGATGTAGCCGTTACCTGCACAGAAAATTTTCCGTACAGCATTCGATTCAATTAGGGAGTCGTAATGTCAAAAAGATGACACACTTTTTAACCCACAGTACAGGTAAGGATAGACCCAGCTCTGATGTAGGTACTCTCTCGCTGGACCAATCTTGATCAGGATGACTCACATACGTAAGGGAAAAAGTGCATTTAGTTTTTGGATAAAGTCTCATTGATTTTCTGAGCACGGACACATAAGCTGCATTGCAATATCAACCCCTATTGCTATATCAGCGTTGAAAAGTAAAAAAAAAGATGAAGTTTAAATGAAATAGTTTATAAAATGACATGTTTCGTATTGCTTCACCAGTTCCCATTATTAAATATAAATAATATAAATACTAATTAAATAGAATCCAATATAAGATGGCAAAACTTTAATTATGTGTCAAAAAACTAATTTGCAGGGCGTCAACTATCTTGTTTCATCTTGAGTTAAAGACCCCGTGTTAATTTCACAAAAAAATCGACATTTATAATATTTTCTTCAATAACCTATAAGTATTTACGAAATTGAGAAACTAATGAGATTCAATTATTTTAGAATCTCACCTGCAGTCAATTCTTCGTATTATAAAATAATTAATGTAGAATATATAAGGTTAACATTTATCCCACCAAACTTCTGAGGTTGAATCAACGTTGGATTAAACGTTGCTTCGTTGCATTAATGTTTAGAGTTTGCATTAATAATTAGAGTTTCTAATTCTCACCGTCCTCATCGTAGTGGCCCCAGACCTCCATGAACTGGTTGGCCGTGAGCTTCTTCAGCTCCCGACTCTCAGCGTCGCGGAACTGCCGCATAAAGTTAGTGCATTTCTCCATGGCGGGATTCATTTTGGCGAGAGTACTGTTGAGTTGACTGGCTGTACTGTTCAGAGTCTCCGCCGCTGTCTGTTTCAGCTGGCTGGCTGTGGCGCTCGACTGGCTGATGTTGCTTCCTGTGGCGCTCGACTGGCTGATGTTGCTGGCTGTGGCGCTCGACTGGCTGATGTTGCCTGTTGAGTCACGGGATGATTTTGGAGCTGTGTCGAGTGATGGAGCTGGCGTGACGGGGGCTGGTTTTGTCGAGCCAGTCAAATTGTTTGGTTTTTGTGGGGGAGTTGGACGGGCTGGGGGAATGTCAGATGAGGCCTGAGAAGGCAGTCTGGTCGGGAATGGTGGTCGCTGAGGAGGGGGTGGCTTACGAGCGCCTTCTTGGTTCATACTGCACACAGAAGAATAAAATTTTGATATACAAAGACCAAAATGAGGAAACTCTTTTGGCAAATAAATGCTGCATGTAATTGGGAAAATTATGGCGTGGAATTGCAAAAATCGTTGATCAAATAATCAGATTAACATCGAGAATTATGCGTGAAGTAACACAAGAAGTAGTTACTGGAAAGATTGAGGTGCGGGTGTGAGTGATTGTGATACTAATTTAATAAGTGAAAACCAAATTCTACGTCATGAGACATTATTGTATGAAAGTAACATAGATAAGTGTGAATTACATGCATAGAAAAGAAAACCAAACTGTCCTCTTGATCTATGTCATTACTGATCGATTATAATTATTAATAATTTCACAGTGTCGTTAAAATTCTAGATTATAATTACTCGATTCGTTCATTTGACTCCTTTATTCTGTGATGTAAGCAATTTAAAATAATTTCGAAGCAAATTAATTCCTTTGGAAAAAACAATGTAATTGTTTATTTTTCAACAAGATTCGCACGATCCAAACTTCTGAATTACTTTTACTACAGAATTGCGTCGTAGATAATTATATTTTGCTTATTATTTTGTATCATACCTGGCTATTCATTATAATTTCATGGCCACAACCATAATGATAACGCAGCTCACGTCTTTTTTGTTGACATTTACGGAATGCGTTATTATTCATGAACACACGTTCGGTAACGGAAACCGAAGCAGGGGATGTCCGTTGCATATTAAAAACGATGACCGATCATCGGCTGGATATTGGCGGCTGGGGGGACTGAGATAAGCTGAGAAGAATAATTCCAGGGAATAAATTTGTAGAGAAAGAGGAAAACCAGTAAAGGTGAATATGATAAATTTGGGGAGAAAGAGGAGGTCCAGTGAGGGTGGAATATGATTAGTGAAAAAATAGATGACAAATTGACAAATTTAGAAGACACGGAATGGGGAAAATGAGGTAAGTAGACTATGGATGGACTTATAAAATCAAATCGGAATAGATCAGAGAAAAGGAAAGTTCTGGAATGGGGGAAAATTGGAAAATTGGTGCTGAAGTTTACGAGTTGAGCAATCAAGTCGTAAAATGACTCGGGGAAATGTGAGGGATATAGAGATGAGTTAATGAAGTTTGTGGAATAGGAGAGAGGAGTGGTGGAAACGAGAAAAGGCCAAAAAATAAACGATAAATTAAAAAAAAGCAATTTAATAAGAAAAAAGTCAAGCAGAGTGAAAAATTCAAGTTATAAGCTGGTCGGTATTGTGAAAAATGGTATTTCTACATTTATTATAGATACACAATCATTCATGCTTGCTAGTGACCAGCATAGAGCGAGAGGCCGAGCCTTCCAGCGGTGGCAGCTGTTGCCACGCTTCAGCAAATCCAAATCCCTAGGATTTGGATTTGATTGATTGGAAGTTAGGATTAAATAGGGAGAGAATATGAAGGAACGCTCAGAAAGCTCTTGTTACGTTGTTCATTAAGAGCATTTTTAAGAGGTAACTTTCAAGCGATAAGTAACTTTCAAGCGGGAGTCTGATAATCTTTGGTATATCGGATTGTCTAGCCGCAGCCAAGTAGGGAGAATGAATAAAGAAGATAAGATAAAGACAATGGGTGGAAAAGAAGTATACATGGAAGGAGAATGAATAAATACGGTAAGGTAAAGACAATGGGTAGAACAGAGACCTGGAAAGTTAAGCAGAGGAAAAGAATGAAAATGGTAACAATATCAATAGTTGGCGTATACTTAATTCAAAATGTTCAAAATTTAAAAACTCCTGATTATCAAAATAATTGTGAAACTTGCGGGACTGTTCAGAAGAAATAAACAATGCAAATATGTCATGAATTAAAGGTTGGTAATAGGTAACATCATGCAGTTGAATTGGCAGCACATCAACAAAGCATATTGCACCGGCAAGCACTGCATCATGAAGCAACGCACTAGTTGATGATGCACTAGCAGGCAGTGCAATAACTGACATGCACCAGCAAGCAGTGCACCAGGAACTGCACTTTAGCACATCTTCCTTAAGGCGGCTCTTTACTTCCATTGAGCTTTTGCTCTAAAGCGAGCGAGTTCCCTCTCTTTCTGTCTCTTTCTCTCTATTCTCTCTCACTTATATCGCAAAATTATGCGAAATTACCACCCGTTGATATACCATCCTACTCTTAAACTATTTTAAGCTTAGAGCAGAAGAAAGCGGTTGAATTTCAATTTCTATTTGCCAAAAATTCGCATTTTATTATTATTCATCTATCTGCTACAGAACAATTAAAGGAGAAACAATAAATTTTAGATAAAAATCTGCATTAAGCTACTTAAACGTCATTTCCGAACAGCGTAATTTATTTATCCTAGAGTTTTAGTTGAATTATGCAAAAATAACTTATTTATTTATAGTAATATATACTTCATCTATATATTTATAAGCGTAAACAAGCTTGCAACGAAATTATCGGTCATTGTCTATTCACGTACAGGTTCGATGTATTACCGGACTTGATGTCTCACAATTGTGCTACTTTTGTCCAAAATTTTATCATTACCGGCCCCACCTGTATGATATATATATATATATTATATATATATTAGATATGAATGATACGGAAATTTTAAATAATCGAAAAAGTAGAGGGTTGCAGTATAAAGTATATACAATTCATGTCGATAAATTCAAACGTGCGGGAAGAGATAGTACACGAAGTGGTGTCTTAAGAACAGACAAGATTTCTTCCACATAATCAACCAGAATAAGCGGTAACTCTTGGTAGTATAAATAGGTATAAGGTTTCAGCATAGGTTCATGTGAACGTCTTCAGATCAATGTATGGGGTATATGTTAGTCGTTCATTCGCAATTGTTGATATCTCATTATATTGACAAAATTAGAATGTTACAAAATTTCCCAATAAACAACAATGAACTTCACATCCCAAATTTAGCAAAAAATACTCATTTAATCGCATGCTCAATATTCCGAAATGTTCAAATTCTCAGAAAAATGAAAGTGAGATTTAAAGAAAACCTGAAATTTGCCGTTCAAAAAGAGAGAAAAACGGAAGAACGGACTGGCCGGCGTTTTAGTGGCCACACGTTTACCGTGAAAATAGAGCATGTTGCCGATTTGTAGCAAGTTAACACGTGAAACCCGGACCATGTACGAAAAAACGGGCATAATGTTAAATTTCATGATGTTTACGGTTTTTTCACCGTTTTTTTCTAGCTGAGTGGTTAAGCAGGAATGTGTTCTCGATGGAAACGTCACCGTAGTGCACACACTTGATAAACAGTGTTTTTTGTATTAGAACTTCATTGAGGATAGAAAGTGAAGGGGAAATTCATTTTTACGATACCGTTAAATTTTTAAATAATATACACTTTTTTATCGAAAAAGGCAAGCAAAAATAACGCCAAATCGAAAAATGCATGTGCAAATTTTTTTCACGCGAAGAAAATTCCTTCATACAAATACTTGTGATAAAAAACTTGTGAAATCAAAAATGCTCATCAAATCGTATGCATTTGCAGAAAATAAAATAAAAATAGATTATACATGATTTTAAATAGAGATCTTCACTGATATTCAAAGACCTCTTCAAATTTTATTGAAGGTAAGAAAACGTTTGTTGAATTTTCCCGTAATTACTGAATTAATTTTGAAGCACTTTAAAAAAAATCAAGAGTATTCGGGAGAACTGGTCGAAAAACGCTTTAGCAGAAAATGCATGTTCAAAAAACGCGAGCGAAGCCAAATGGAGTGTGGAAAAACGAGCAAAAAATTCGTGATAAAAAATTCAAGAAATTCACGAGCTGGAGGAAGATTAGTTTAAATCGAGCAACAAAATGCGTGTAATTAGGATAAAAAATCTTTCTGTAAACTTGCGGGCAAGAAATTTTGAAAAAATCTTACCGCTGTTGCAGCGCCCAAGAGTTGAATATCCCAAAAGAACCCAAAGAGAACGCAATTTTGAGGGTCTCTCTGATTATCTTTCTCGATTATCAATAATTTGAAAAGTTTTTTTGACGGAATGTCTCAAAAATTCTACTTGAAAGTGTACTTTTTTTAACCTGTATATAATCTGGAACAGAGCAGTCCTTACGACAAATCTTCAATATGAATAGCAATGAATGTAAATTATAGCAACAAGTGGAGGTTCTTAAGGCCCCTCTTCAAGATGTCCGCTGCTATTTCTTTAATTTCCTTCCCTAGATCAAAATCCCATTTTTTGGGAGCATCTGTTTTTTTTTTGGGGGGAGAAGGGGTTATGCCCCTATCTCATGCGATAATATCATTTAAATTTTTCAATTGTTTAGTTTAATCAAATGGGATTATAATGACCGGACTGGTGCGCGTTTAACAAACTTTAACGAAGTCAAATTCAGCAAGTAATTATGGGAGCAATAGTGTCAACCAAATTTTCAAAATCGAACAGCTTTCACAAAAGAAAAATTCCCCGATTAAATTTATTCGTAAAATTTTAATTTTTATGTGAATTATTATTGTAAAGCCACTTTTTTATTTCTGTATAAAATAGAAGAGAGCTGAAACCCCTTGTAGAGAGCTGGAGAGGCAAGTCTGTGAAGAGATGAAAAGCAACGTTAGATAAATTTCAGTTGGATATGAAAAAATTATAAATGAATAATGTAGTCAACAAAAATTTTCAATATTAAATGGTTTTAAACAAAAACAAGGCACATGTATCCGAAACTTTTTCGCCACTATTATATTCTATTGTTGTTTTGAAAGACCTAAAACTGTAATTTCTTTAATATTTACAAGCGTTTTTTTACACAAATTGCCGTTGTTATAAACCCAATTGAAACCTCGAAACTAATTTGCATTGAAAAATGGTATTTACGTAGAAGGTATTATCGAAAGGTATATATACCTTTTTCGTCGAAAAAAGTATTTTTACTATGCGCTATAAGCTGCTGGAAAAAATTCGTGATATAGAGTCAAAAATGATATAAGAATGAATTTCAGACCTCTTGA